GCTGCCTCTGTCTATCCATAGAGGACCCTTGGGCCTCTCTTACCCAGGATAAGGCGAGTCCCCAGAAGGCTTTCAGGAAGTGTTGACTAACTTACTGACTGACTGAATGAATGAGCATGGTCCTACTGAGTGCTCCCTGTGGCGAGGTTCTCACCTGCCAATATCAGAGGTGAAAGAGAGAGACACGAGCCTATCTCAGAGAGAGCTCTTGGGTCCAACTCCTATGCCTGCCAGAACTTTTTAGAAGAGACCTGCCCACTTAGCCCCACATCCAAAGGGGCTCTGGGGCTCCTGGAACCCTTTCTCCTTTCCCACCAGGGTGAAAGCTCCATCCTCCCTCCACCTGAAGCTGTCAGAGTTAGCGCTCCTCTGGGCCTTTACACATGCTGCTCTCTACACCAGGAATGCCTCTCCCCATCAGCAGATCCTTTGCACCCTTCAGGTCTCAGCTTAGTCACACAATACACTCCACTGACCCAGCATGCACTCTGTGCCAAAAACTTTGATGGCCGTTCCCATCCTCTCCTTCCCCAAGCCCAAGATGGGAGCTTCCTCTATAGAGGACAGCACTGGGGCTTGGAGAGACAGAGGAGCCTGCCCAAGTCCACATAGCTGGTTAAGACGCAGAGAAACCACACTCCTCTCAACACTAAGCTCTTAAGTGCTCTCCCACACTGTCTGCCTTCTCCAGGAAGCCGTCTTGGCCCCCACGCATGCCAGGGCAGACAGATCCTCCTCTAGGCTATCCCTGCCAGTGTGTGTGTCTGCCATCGCAGCCCTGGCATCAACACCTTATAACCTCCTGGTTTCTCACTGTGTTCGCCAACCAGACTGGTTCTGGGCTTTGAAGGGATCTGGGTAGGGGCATTTGTCTCTAGTTCAAGAGGTCTGGACCAGGGCCTGGTACACAGCAAGTGCTCAATAAATGTTGGTCATATGGGTGGATGGATTCACATATTGCTTACTCTCACAGAGATTCCTGTTTTCATGAAATTCCAGCTCTACTCAAATGCAGGCACACAGTAGGTGCTCAAGCAATGTCCTCTGCCTGAAGGAGGGCAGAAAATGTGTTACAATCACTTGTATGGCCCCACAGGCCTCATAAGATCCTGTTAAATCAATGAAGAATGAGAAGCTGGGAAAACTGAGGCATAGAGTGGGGTGCTTAGCCCAAAGCCACACAGCCAGCCCTGGTGGCTCCCACTCAGCCCCCGCCCCCAGCTGCTGTCCCCTCAGATGCCTCAGGGAGAGCAGCTCCTCCCTCAGTCCCCCACCCCGGGCAGTGCCTGCCGGCTGCCCAGCCCAGCCTGTTGTCTCCCTGGGGCTGGCACGTCACACACGGAATCTCACGCCTCAGAGCTCAGCATGCTCCAGCCTCCCCTCCTGCCTCTGAGCAGAGCAGCTGGTGCTCCCATGGAAACCACAGGCCCCCCCAAATCCCTCCCCACCTGCACGGCCCCCCTTGCAACCTCCGCTTTAAGATAAATATTGTCATTAACATGCAAATGCATATGTGATTACCATAAATGGGGGGTCACGCAGCAGCAGCGGCCAGCGAACCCTATCACCAGACTGTGCATTAATATTCAGCCCTGACCAGGGAGAGGTACCTCAGGGCCCCTACAGTCGCCCAGCCCACTCAGAGCGAGGGTCATGGGGGATCCTGCCTGCAAGCAGGGGGCTGGAGGAGGGTAATGACAGGACAGCAGCCACTGGGAGCCCCATCCCAGCCCTCAGTTCCTGGCTGGAGCCCCTGGCTGGGCTGGGGGCACCGGGGAGGTCCCCTTCCTCTGGACAGAGGAGACACAGATCTGGGAGGTGGGGGCAGGAGGCAGCACTGCGGCCTCCGGCTCCCCCTTCATCTCTCTCCCTGGCTCCCACCCTCTCTCTGCCTCTCCCTGTGTGTGTGGAGGGGGGAGGGCTCCCTCTGTCTCTCCCTCGTTCTCCCCCTCTCTGTCTCTGTCTCTATCTCCACCTCTCTTAAAAAAAAACCAGCACCCATGGGCCTGCCCTCTTTCTGAGAGCCCCTTGTTCCCACCCTGTCCCCCAACACCTGTCCAGCCCTCAGAGCCCTGAGGACCTGCTCAGCCCTCTGCCTTTCTTTTGGTCCCAGGAGACCCCCCCCGCCCCCCCCCACCCCGGCACAGCCCTGCCTGGCTGTGGCTGTCAGATGTCACAGCCACTCCCCCCATGCCATTTTGGGGAGCCTTATTCTCAGCTTGGGGGGATCTGCCACCCCTTCGTCACACACACATGCTTCTGCTTCCCCTGGCCTGGGAGGGAAGCGGGTGAGTAACGGCGGGAGGCCTGTTCTGGTTGGTCCCTGGGACCCAGTGGTTGGCCTTCTGAGCCTCAGTGTCCCTTCTGTGTGACATGTGGTGATGCTCCTAGGCCACCCTCAGAGGCGATCCCTCTGGTGAGAGATCAGACAGGCCCCTGAACGTGAAAAGGGAAGAGTTAAGGGTGAGATGTCACAAGGGTATGACAGCGCTGGGGTGGGGGCGTGTTGGCCACAGCGAGGTTTTACTTCACCCCTCACCCCTTTCTGGCCCTCTCAGCTGCCCTGCTGCTCAGCCTCCCTCAGCAGCCAAAGGCCTGGACAGACGGCTCTGGGAGGGGGGTTCTCTCCACTCCTGGTGCCCCAGCCCTCCCATCCTTCCCACTCTCCTCCAGCACCACCAGCGGGCGCCCTGTTTGGTTGGCCCTCCAGAAATTACACTAAGTAAGTGTTGTTGGGGGGGGGTCCTGGACCACCTCTATCCCCCCACTTCCCATTTATCATTTTACCTCCCTTTGTTTGAGGCCCAGAGAGGGGCAGCCACTGGCCACAGGTCACACAGGCCTCCATCCCAGCTGCTGGCCCTCGAGACACCCCCACCTCCAGGTTGCCTCCCACAGGTTAGGTCCCTCAAGGCCCTAATAGGTGGGACCAGAAGGGGGATCCCTTCTTGACCTGCGGGTACTGGGTGAGGGCAAACACGAGGGACCCCCCCACACACACACACACCCTCTAGCTACACTCAGGTCCTGCTTCCAGGGCTCAGATCAGCCCAGGATCCCTGCAGAGAGAAGGGTGAGGACTGAGTGTCATGGACACGCTGCTTGCTAATTTTAAGCCTCCAGGGAAAGATGGGAAATTGGAAAGCCCTGAGACAGCCCTCCCATCCCAACATTCTCCAGCCGGAAAAAACAGCCCCACATGCACGGGGCCCCATGTTACCGGTGGCGGGGAAACTGAGACTCTAGTCCAGACAAACACTCAGCCAAGCACCCCCCACCTCTTTTTGCTCTGGGAGGGGGGGGTTGGTTTCCATGGGAGATTTAAAAATGAGAAAAGGGGCACCTCCGCAACCCATTCATTTCCCTGACCCGGAGCTCCCCAGTGAGTCTTCCAATCTAATATTTGGGGGGCCACATGGACACCCCCGACTCCCATCAGAATCCTTTTAGAAATGGGCCCTTCAGACATACGAGGGGGCTGGGTAGGAGTGTGTGGACAGAGCCCTCCATTAGCTGTGGACCCCTGAGCTGGATTCATTGGCAAGAGTGAACCCTCAGCCCTCCTAGGCCAAATGGAGGAATTAGATTTTCCAGGCCCCCCCCTTTTTTTTTGGTGATAGAAGGATTTAAAAAAAGGTTAAGGGTGGGAGGGGTTTCTTTCCTCTATAGGGTACCGGCTGAGGGTCTAGCTGAAGTGACAAGCCTGGGCTCCGTCCAACCAGGCTCTCCGTCATTCATTCATTCATTCATTCATTCATTCATCGAACATGTATTAATGGTTACCATGCCTGCAACACTGAGGGGAGGTGGGGGCAAATGGGTCTGAAATAGGTCATGGGCCCTGGGCCACCCCTAAGGTCTTGCCATGGGCGTCCAGCACAAAGCCTTCGCCATCTCCACCCCCAGGTCCCAACCCCCGACAGGAGAGCTGTCAAAGCAACCCCAATTCACGATCAGAGCCCAGGGCCAGGGCCATAGTCCCTGGGCACCTGCTCCCAGCATGCCATCAGAGAGAGAATCAGGTTGCGGGGAGCCAGGCAGGCCTCCTCACCCCACCTGCCTCCCTGCTGGGCTTGCAGGCCGCCCACGCCTCCCCTGTCCACCCCAGGATCTGGGCTCTGCCAGATGGACAGCCCAGGCTCCTCATCGTTGGCCTCAGACCTCAACACACTGCTGACAGGATCGGCCAGTTTTAACTTGAGCCAAAGGTGGAGACAGGGAGGGGAAGGGCAGAGAAACGGAGGGGGGATGCTGGTCCAAACAGAGAGGGTAGGCAGGGGGGAGGACGAACGGTAGCATTTGAGCCACCGGAGGCTAGTGCTCCCCCCTCAGCCTGGCTCAGCTCCCTGAGCCCCCCCAACCCCCCTCCTGCTTTCTTTGTAGTTACCGATTAGCCCAGGGTCCTGGGCATCCGTGTGTCCCTGGAGGCCAGCTGGACCTGCCCCACCGGCCTGGCTTTGTGAAAATGACCAAAGCAATGGAGTCCAGAGGCGCAAAGTTCCCCGACGGGGCCTGGGGAAGCCAAATGAATGGGGGGAGCAGAGAGGGGTGGCAGTGTTCAGGCAGCTCCCCCAGAAAAGGGGCAGGAAAGAGTGGGTGAGGGGGAAGGGATGGGGGTCTGGGAAAATGGGAGGGAAGGGAGAGAGAGAAAATGCTGGGGGGTGGAGAATGGGAGGTAAAGGAAGATGGGAGAGTAGAGAAAGGGAGAGGGAGAGGGAGAGGGAGAGAGAGAGAGAGAGAGAGAGAGAGAGAGAGAGAGAGAGAATGCCGGAAGGTGGAGAGGGAGGGAGAGGGGGCGGAGGAGGGGAGGGGGCCAGATCGTATCTGTCAGCTGCACCCCCAGAGGGGGGAGGAGAGGGTGGGTGGGAGGGGGGAGAAATGATGCCGTGGCAGAAGCAAGTGGAGGGAGGAGGTTAGGAGAGGAGGGTTGGGGGAGAGAAGATGCCGGAAGGTGGGGTGGGGAGGAGAGGGGAGGGGAAGGAGGGGGCCGGGGTGCCCACCTTTGTGCATGCCCGTGTAGGGGTCTTTGAGCACCGTGAGCTCATAGATGCGGCCGAACTGCTCAAATAGCGGCTTGAGGTCCTTCTCGTCCAGGTTGCGCGGGATCTGGCCCACGAAGAGCTTGATGGCGTCCAGGTCCTTCATGCCGTCGGGCTGCCCCCCGGGGGGCTCGGGCCCGCTGCTGCCCACCGGCGAGGGCCGCGGCTGCAGGAGCTGCTGCTGCTGCCGGCGCGCCTCGCTTTCCGTGAGGCGGGCCATGGCGAGCGAAGGCGGGCGGCGGGCGCGGGACCGAGCCGGCGGCGGCGGCGGCAGCGGCGGGCAGCGGGCGGACTCGCAGCTAGAGCGACGGACGCCGCCTCCCGCCTCCCTCCCACCCGGTCTCCGCGCCCTCCTCCCTCTTCCGCGCCCGCTCGCTCCAGCATCAGGACCACAAAAGGGCGGCTCCGCAGCGTCCCCTAGCGGCCGACGCGCGCATAGCCATTCCGCCTCCGGCCTCCCGCGCGCATCCTGCACTTCTCATCCCATTCTACATCCACATCCCCACCTCCAGTCTAGGCGGGGAGACTGAAGCCAGCGGGCCGCAAACCTCGCCTACTAGGTGGGTGACATCGAAGCTTCAAACAGGACTAACCTGACTTCTACTTGTCACTGGCTCCTCACACTGATAACAACAGGAAATTTCATCACTGAAAGTAGCGCCCAGCATTTACTATTTAGTGGGCTGTTCTTGCCACTTTTAAGAATACAACTCATCAATAATAATAATTATTATTATTTTTAAAAAATATTTTATTTATTTCTTTAGAGAAAGGGGAAAGGAGAGAGAAAGAGAGAGAGCAAGAAAGATCAATATGTGGTTGCCTCTTGAAAGTCCCCAACTAGGGACCCTGCCCACAACCCAGGCATGTGCCCTGACTGGGAATCCAACCAGTGACCCTTGGGTTCGCAGGTCGGCACTCAGTTCACTGAGCCACACCAGCCAGGGCAGTGAATTATTATTATTATTATTATTATTATTATTATTATTATTATTATTATTATTATTATTACTACTACCACCACTACTACTACTACTATTGCAACAAGTTTTAAAACCTTCCCAAAAGTAAAATTCCAGGACCAGCTGGCTTCATTAGTGAATCTTACCAAGCATTGAAAGACTTTATACCTTTCCTTTTCAAACTCTTCCAAAAAAATTGAAGAAGAGGCAATACTCCCTAACACATGTTACGAGGTCAACATAACCCTTATGCCAAAACCTGGCAAGGATAACACTAGAACATAAAACTATAGAGCAATATCTCTGATCAATACGGATGCAAAAATCCTAAACAAAATTGAAATCCTAGCAAATTGAATACAACAATATATTTAAAAAAGAATACACCAGGATCAAGTGGGATTCATTCCAGGGTCACAGGATGTTTCAACATACACAAATCAATCATGTAATACACCACATTAACAGAGGATAAAGATCACATGTTCTTATAGATAGATACAGAATAAGCATTCAATAATATACAGCATTAGTGTATGATTAACACTCAATACAATGGATATAGAAGGACATACCTCCACATACTGAAGGCCATGTATGACAGACCCACAGCTCACGCCGCACTCCGTGATGAGACACTGAGAGCTCTCCCTCTGAAATCCGGATCCAGATGAGGACGCCCACTCTCACCACTCGTGTTTAACATAGTTCTGGAAGTCCTAGCTAGAGCCATCAGGCAAGAGAAAGAAGTAAAAGACATCCAAATTGGGAAGGAAGAAAGAGTGTCACTTTTTGCAGATGACATGATTTTGCATGTGGAAAATCCTAAAGACTCCACCAAAAACTACTAGAAACAGTGGGCAAACACAGTCAAGTTGCAGGACACAAACTCAGTGTACAAAATCCACTGCTTTCCTGTGTGCTAACAATGAAACTTCAGGAAAAGAAATGGAAAACACAACTCTTTTTGTAATTGCGACCAAAATAATAAAATACCTAGGAATAAACTTAACAAAGGATGTGAAGGACCTATATACTGAAAACCACAATGGATTATTAAAAGAGATAGAAAGAGACACAATATAATGGAAAGATGCTCTGTGTTCATGGATCAGAGGAAACAACACAGTTTAAAATGGACATATTACTCAAAGCAATATACAGATTTAATGCAATCCCCATCAAAACTTCAATGTCATTGTTTCAAGATTTTAGTTATTTATTTTTAGAGAGAGGAGAAGGGAGGGAAAATGAGAGGGAGAGGATGTGTCAGATAAACATCAATTGGTTGCCTCTCTCACACCCCCCAGCTGGGGTCCTGATTCTCAACCCAGGCATGTGCCCTGACTAGGAATCAAACCAGCAATCTTTCAGTTCACAGACCCGTGCTCAAGCCACTGAGCCACACCAGTCAGGACCCAATGTCATTTTTTAAAGAAATAGAGCAAAACAATAATCAGATTTGTATGGAACCACAGAAGACATTGAATAGACAAAGCAATCCTTAGAAAAAAAAAAAAAGCCAGAGGTATCTCACTACCTGGCTTCAAATTATATTACAGAACTATGATAATCAAAACAGCATGGTATTGGCAGAAAAATAGCCACAGATCAATGGAACAGAATTAAAAGCCCAGAAATAGAAACACAGGCATATGGTCAAATATTTTTTGACAAAAGAGCTTAAAAAATGGAGAAACGGAAGTCTCTTCAATAAACTGTGCTGGGAGAATTGGAAAGCCACATGCAAAAGAATGAAACTAGATTACAATTTGTCTCCCTGTACAAAAATTAAATCAAAATGGATCACAGACTTAAATGTAAGATCTGAAATAATAAAGTACATAGAAGAAAACACAGGTACTAAACTTACAGACCTTGGCCATTGAGAACATTTCATGAACTTGACCCAAAAGCAAGGGAAGTAAAGGCAAAAATAAATGAATGAAGCTGTACCAAACTAAAAAGCTTCCTACACAGCAAAAGAAACTGATAACAAAATACAAAGGCAACTGCCCTGGCTGGTGTTGCTCAGCGGATTGAGCGCTAGACTGTGAAGCAAAGGGTCACCAGTTCGATTCCTGGTCAGAGGTTTCCGGCCAGGTCCCCTGTAGGGGGTGCACAAGAGACAACAACACATTGATGTTTCTCTCCTTTTCTTCCTCCCTCCCTTCCTCTCTCTCTAAAAATAAATAGATAAAAACTTTTAAAAACATGTACACCTGAAACTTATATGATCATATGAGCCAATGCCACCCCAACAAATTTAATTTAAAAAGCGGCCATAGCATATAAACTAGCCATGAAGCCATGGTCCACAGTGCTCCCTTGTGATGCATTTGAGAGAAATGATTGACTCAATCTTTTCTCAACTACTGTAAATACATCCTCTAACAGAACACTACTGAAGTCAGTCATTTATTTGTTTTATTGAAATTAAGAGTAATCTCATCCCCCCTAAAAATAGTAAACCAAGAGTTTTAAAGAAAGATCTAAAGCCTATCATATATCTTTCATCGATGGTTTCCAATGCACACGAGGGAAGGGAATGTACAGACTAAATATTTGGGTCTATGAGAGACATTTGTTAGTTGTCCACAAATGGCATAGCTGTTGACGTTACATTTCACGGCAGCTGTGAAATACGGAAGGTTGAATAAAGTGGCATTAACAAAATAATAATGACAATAATAATAGCAATGGGAAAGAACACTTTCGGTAACATCATGTGCCAGGCACTGTGCTCAGCACATTCAGGTTTAAAACTTAGAAATAGCTATCGTGCTATATCAACAGCAATGAGAAATAACAATTTTTTGGTCACACTTGCTAATGTGCACACAGTGTTCAAAATATTTCAAAGGATATTGATGCATTTGGGGCAAGAACTCTATGGACATCATGTCACCCTGCTTAAAACTCTCCAAAAATGTACTAAAATTAAAGCTGAGTCCTTTGTGCAGTCCCCAAGGCCCTACAACACCTGCACCATCCCCTCCCTGCCCTCACCCCTCCCTCTCTCCCCCTACTCACTCTGCTCCAGCCGCACAGGCCTCCTGGCCTTTCCTCCAACACACCAGTCACTGTCATGCCCCAGGGCCTTTGCACAAGCTCTGCCCTTTGCCTGGAATACCCTCCCCCACACGGTGCATGGCTTACTCTCTCAATCCCCAACACTTTGTCCATCCTATCTAAAATCGTTCAGCCACCATTACCTCCTTTCTCAGGCTTTCTTTTCCCTCCATAATATTTATACCTATTTTAATGTAATTTAATTCTAATATGCTGTGCTAAGTTCTGGACATGAACAAACTCATTTGATCCACACAACAAACCCTGAAATGGTTACAAATAAATACACAAGATACTTTTAGACTATGATAAATGCAGTGAAGGAAACACAGTTAGATGAGTGGTGGGAAGGCAATTCAGGGAAAATTGATAACAGAGAGTGACTTAGAGCTGAGATGAGACTGGGGCAGCAGGTGCAAAGGCCTTGAGGCAGGAAGCATCCTGACAGATGGAGGAGCAGCGAGGAGACTGCAGCAGGGGGAGTGGAGCACTCCATGAGTGACTGGGAAGCAGTCTATCGATTCTGAATTTATTTTTTAAAATTTTTATTTATTTATTTATATTAGAGGGGAAGGGAGGTAGAAAGCTAGGGAGAGAAACATCAATGTGTGGTTGCCTCTCACGCGCCCCCTACTGGGGACCTGGCCCACAACCCAGGCATGTGCCCTGACTGGGAATCGAACCAGCAACCCTTTGGTTCTCAGGCTGGTGCTCAGTCCATTGAGACACACCAGGCAGGACTATTTTCTTTATTTTAAAACAAAAACAGGATCAGTAACAATGCCTGAGCAGCCGAAGGAAAACTCAGTTATACTGATTCTATTTAGAATGTTGACCTTTTATTCATCATGAATTTGAGGGGTATTTAATTTTAATTTGTTTAAAATATTGCATTAAGCCTGGCTGGTGTAGCTCAGTGGATTGAGCGCGGGCTGTGAACCAAAGGGTTGCTGTTTCAATTCCCAGTCAAGGCAGATGCGTGGGTTGGGGGCCAAGTCCCCAGTGGGGGCCACATGAGAGGCAACCACACATTGATGTTTCTCTCTCTTTCTCTTTCCCTTCCCCTCTCTCTAAAAAAATAAATAAATAAAATCTTTAAAAATATTGTATTAAAACATTCTTTATCTTGATGATGAAGTTTTTTGGTGCCCCCTTAAACTTTGCTCCCCAGGTGTGCTCACCCTGGTCCCTGCCCACTCAC